AACTTGACATGCAACAAACACGCGTACGGCCCGTGGTGCGCACTATATATGCGACCACATCCCCTTGGCCGAAACACCGCAAAACAAGAATATTTTTCCGAACATCATAAGCTGAAACAACAGGACATAACATGAAAATACTAACTTCATGATTATTGTTCGGGAGAGTATGAATTTTAAACATGACATGCCCTACGCGAACTTCACGTACGACGAACACGAACATGGCTAAGACGCGGACTTGAACTCAAGTTATGATCAAAGCTAATTTTGATGCTTATTAATCACAACAAGATGAGAGTTAACTACCTCTCCGCTAGACGATGATCTCCGCTAGATGCGGCATTCGCGTGCGTGCTAAACTCTCTCGGCGGTGTGGAGCGGTGCGTACGCGTTGGGCCTGCGTGCGGCGTGCGATGGGGTGCTACTTGCGATAGCTTGCGGACAACACTTAGAATTTCTCACTAAACTCACTCAATTTCGGAACTTAGAATATTAGGTGAAGAAATGGAACAAAAATTCCCAAACTCCACTCTTATATAGCAAATGGCCGAAGAGGTGATTGTTTGGAGATTTAATCTCCTTAAGACACTTGTAGCAACACTAAACAATACTTAGGTGACTAAGCACCCTCTTACTTAAATAGTGCCACGTTTAAATGTTTAATAATGAAGAAGTGTTTGGACAATTCCACTAATATGCCTTACTTAAACGTACGGTTATTTGGAAAATAATTAGGAAATTTCGTACGGTTTTATGACTAATTTTGTGATTAATTACTAATTAACCACTTAATCATGTTTAATTATTTAATTAAACATAATGCTTAATTACCAAAATTATTCCGAACGTAAACGATACGTCGAAAATAATTTTCGGTAATCTTGACTGAAATGACTGAAAATAATTAATTCCGAAAATTAATACTCGACGATATTAATATATCGGAACTAATACATGATTTATACTGATAAGCTGACGGGATATTACAAATTGGCCTTGGGCCCAACAGAAGCCAACTGCTTAGGCTGGTTAGAATGAGCATCCTTCCCAGGTTGGGCAGTGGCGACCATTACAGCTTTGCCCTTGTCCTTGGCCCCCTTTGGGGACCTGGGCGCATGGATAGGTCCTTTGCCCTTTCCCTTCAGGTCCCTCCGGCCATTGGTGGGTCCCGGCTGAGTCACATGATGGCACAGAGGCAGAGCGGGTCGTGGCTTATTGCCACTCATATAGCAATCAGCCGCTATATGCCCCACATGTCCGCATGAGGTACATAACGCGGGGATCTTCTCGTAGATCACCCGCTGAGAGAAGGTCTCCGAACCCTGCTCAATCTCAATCTCATGGACAGGCTCAACCCTGAGATCGAACTCAACACAAAACCGAGCCACATTAGCCCTCGACTGGAGGGCTGTCGACCCATCAACGCGGACCGGTTTTCCGACACACTTAGCAAGTGTAGTGATGGAATCCCGGTCATAAAGGTGTGGTGGAAGGCCGGGGAGGCGGCACCACATGGGGACAACAGGTGTCTTCGTCTTCGGGTTGAACCGAGAAGTATACTTGAACACCCTAGTTGGGCATCCGCATATAGAAATAGAGGTCTTAAGCCAAGCCTCATTATATTCCTCAGGGAGGTGGAAAGAGACTATGAGATGGTTGAAACTATACCACTTAAATGAAAATCTACCCTTAAACCCCAACTTACCTAATCCAGAAGATATATCTCGATGGGGAGGGATGACATAAGAGAACTTAAATACCAAGGTGTTAGGTAACTTACCGATAAGGGTGTCAGCTTCGGCCTGCCAAAATCGAACCTTCACCTTGTTTCCCTCCGAGCGGATGATGTGTCCGCAAGCATGGTCATAATCACCATCAAGTATGAACTCTTTGGGTGTCGAGCGTTGGGTACTCTTGTCTCCATCTCTCCTCCCCGTAATAGCCTCCCAAAAAGAGAGCGGGCTAGTGGTTGATCCCAGGAGAATCCCGGTTGCGGTGGGATTGAGCGGGGAGGTGTCCTTCGGTGGTGGCCTGATAGGGTAGTGACCGGTGGAAATAGCCGCGGGCGTCCTGCTAGGGCTCGCCACAACTATGCTATTTTCCCGTACATACAAAACGGACGGTGTAGTACTTCCAGATGTCAGAGAGAGAGGCCCCGACAGAGAAACGAGCCTATTGTCCATTACACCGGCCGTAGAAGGGTCTCCGGTGGTTTACCGGATTTCGTTCCCCATTACCGGTAATGGGGTTGCCGGTCACCGGAGTTGCTGCGCCTGTCACTGCAGTTGCTGCACCGGCCACCGGTTGCTGGGTGGGGAGAGGCGAGGTCGAGGGAGGGCTGGCCTGAAGGTGGGATGAACTGAGTGGGTAGATAAAAGGCTGTGAGGTGGGCTGCGAATTATGTGTATGGTTAGTGGGCTGTGAGGTGGGCTAGTG